CTATCTATTTTGAGGGCCGGCTGCAAAGTTATCTGCACGATCCAATTCTATCTATCTATCTATCTATCTATCTATTTTTCTGGGCCAGCTGCAAAGTTATATGCACGATCCACTCATATGTATCTATCTATCTATCTATCTATTTGTGAGGGCAGCTGCAAAGTTACCTGCACGATCCAATTCTATCTATCTATCTATCTATCTATCTATCTATCTATCTATCTATCTATCTATTTGTGAGGGCCGGCTGCAAAGTTATCTGCACGATCCAATTCTATCAATTATCTATCTATCTATCTATCTATCTATCTGTCTATCTATCATCTATCTATCTATTTATTTGAGGGCCGGCTGCAAAGTTATCTGCACGATCCAATTATCTATCTATCTATCTATCTATCTATCTATCTATCTATCTATCTATCTATCTATCTATCAATTTGTGAGGGCCGGCTGGAAAGTTATCTGCACGATCCAATATCTATCAATATCTATCTATCTATCTATCTATCTATTTCTGATCTATCTATTATCTGCACGATCTATCTATCTATCTATCTATCTATCTATCTAATTTCTATCTATCTAGGGATCTATCAAAGTTATCTGCACGATCCAATTCTATCTATCTATCTATCTATCTATCTATCTATCTATCTATCTATCTATCTATCTATCTATTTGTGAGGGCCGGCTGCAAAGTTATCTGCACGATCCAATATCTATCTATCTATCTATCTATCTATCTATCTATCTATCTATTTGAGGGCAAATTGGAAAGTTATCTGCACGATCAATTCATTCATCTATCTATCTATCTATCTATCTATCTATTTGTGAGGGCTGGCTGCAAAGTTATCTGCACGATCCAATCTATCTATCTATCTATCTATCTATCTATCTATCTATCTATCTATCTATCTATTTGTCTATTTATCTGAGCAATTCGCCTGCAAATTTATCTGCACGATCCAATCGATCCTATCTATCTATCTATCTATCTATCTATTTGTGAGGGCTGGCTGCAAAGTTATCTGCACGATCCAATCTATCTATCTATCTATCTATCTATCTATCTATCTATCTATCTATCTATCTATCTATCTATCTATCTGTGAGGGCCGGCTGCAAAGTTATCTGCACGATCCAATTCTATCTATCTATCTATCTATCTATCTATCTATCTATCTATCTATCTATCTATCTATCTATTTGTGAGGTTATCTGCTGCAAAGTTTTCTATCGATCAATCTATCTATCTATCTATCTATCTATCTATTTGTGAGGGCCGCTTCAAAGTTATCTGCACGATCCAATCTATCTATCTATCTATCTATCTATCTATCTATCTATTTGTGAGGGCTGGCTGCAAAGTTATCTGCACGATCCAATCTATCTATCTATCTATCTATCTATCTATCTATCTCTCTATCTATCTATCTATCTGCAAAGTCCGGCTGCAAAGTTATCTGCACGATCCAATTCTATCTATCTATCTATCTATCTATCTATCTATCTATCTATCTATCTATCTATCTATCTATCTATCTATCTATTTGTGAGATCAGCTGCAAAGTTATCTGCACGATGCAATATCTATCTATCTATCTATCTATCTATTTGTGAGGTCCGGCTGCAAAGTTATCTGCACGATCCAAATCTATCTATCTATCTATCTATTTATCTATCTATCTATCTATCTATCTATCTATCTATCTGTGAGGGCCGGCTGCAAACTTATCTGCACGATCCAATTCTATCTATCTATCTATCTATCTATCTATCTATCTATCTATTTATCTATCATATTCATCTATCTATCTATCTATTATTTGTGAGGTCCGGCTATCAAAGTTATCTATCACGATCCAAATCTATCTATCTATCTATCTATCTATCGAAAGTTATCTATCTATCATCTATCTATCTATCTATCTATCTATCTATCTATCTATTTGTGAGGGACGGCTGCAAAGTTGTCTGCACGATCCAATTCTATCTATCTTTCTATCTATCTGTGAGGGCCCGGCTGCAACGTTATCCACACGATACAATTCTATCTATCTATCTATCTATCTATCTATCTATCTATCTATCTATCTATCTATATGTGAGGGCCGGTTGCAACGTCGTCTGCACGATCCAATTCTATCTATCTATCTATCTATCTATCTATCTATCTATCTATATCTATCTATCTATCTATCTATCTATCTATTGAGGGCCGGCTGCAAAGTTATCCACACGATCCAATTCTATCTATCTATCTATCTATCTATCTATCTGTGAGGGACGGCTGCAGTTATCATCACGATCCAATTCTATCTATCTATCTATCTATCTATCTATCTATCTATCTATCTATCTATCAGTGAGGGACGGCTGCAGTTATCTGCACGATCTAATTCTATCTATCTATCTATCTATCTATCTATCTATCTATCTATCTATCTATCTATCTATCTATTTGTGAGGGCCGGCTGCAAAGTTATCCACACGATCCAATTCTATCTATCTATATCTATCTATCTATCTATCTATCTATCTATCTATCTATATCTATCTATCTATCTATCTATCTATCTATCTATCTGTGAGGGCCGGCTTCAAATTTATCTGCAAGATCCATTTCTATCTATCTATCTATCTATCTATCTATCTATCTATCTATCTATCTATCTATCTATCTCTCTGTTAGGTCCGGCTGCAAACTTATCTGCACGTTCCAATTCTATCTATCTATCTATCTATCTATCTATCTATCTATCTATCTATCTATCTATCTGTGAGGGACGGCTGCAAAGTTATCTGCACGATCCAATTCTATCTATCAATCTATCTATCTATCTACACACTTTGCCCAATTCTTAGTTCAATGATAATAATATTATACCTTTTGCATTGTTAGACTCAAGCACTTGTTTGAGCAGAGCTTCGAAATATGACAGTAAGTAGAGGAAAAATAAAAATTGAAAACATTTAGCATTTATTAAGGATAATTTGATTATTGGGAAACTAAACTCGTTGTTAAAATGTTTAAAGCCATATTTAGACGAAGCTTTACTTTCTAAACACATAACGAAATTTAGTCATTCCTGTTTAAGCATGAATGAAGTTAACTTTTCTCCTTGGTATCTACTGCGTTTCATAAGGTAAAACATGGCAAAAGCTAAAAGATGGATAGAGTTTAAAGCTCAACTCAAATAAGGTGATTTTCTAAATGTAGCTTAGATGTGGCACAAGGCCTAAAATACAGGACACCCAGTGAGTATCCAACTCACTATTGGCTCGCAATTGATCAAACGAGACAAGATTGCTAACCATTACAAGTTGGAATTCTCAGCTCTATTTGCTGTCTACAAACGCTATAGATATATTTTTTCTTTATTTTCATTGGCCTTGACATTTTGACCTGTAGTGTATAAACACATATAGTCAGGCCACACACACACACACACACACACACACACACACACACACACACACACACACACACACACACACACAATATATATATTTAAACGTTAATTTCATAGATACAAATATTTAAATAAATCATCGGTTAATAAACAGTATTAAATACATTTACCCACCCGAATGTCATAGAAATTTCATAGAAAATATGTCCTCCGAGAGGAATCTCTTTGTATTTTATATAAATATTTCTATCTATAAAAGAACGCATAAACAAAATATATTAAAATAATTATCGGACTATCTATGTTACACACACACACACACACACACATATATATATATATATATATATATATATATATATATATATATATATATATATATATATATATATGTACATGTATATTTGTGTGTGCGTGTCTATTTTCGTCTCAGAAAGAGGACGTGTACATCTATCTATCTATCTATCTATCTATCTATCTATCTATCTATCTATCTATCTATCTATCTCAGCCTCTTTGTCATCTATCTATCTATTTATCTGCAAAGGCCGACTGTAAGGTTATCTGCACGATCCAATTCTATCTATCACATATATTTTTCGCCGAAGAAATCGACCAAACTATCTTCTTCAACTCAAACTTTTTTTGTAATTATAATGCTCGATATCCTGTCTTAGTTCATTAATAGCACAAAATAAAATTAAATGTCCACTAATTTAAAGAAAATGGATACAAAAAAGACATTTAAGATCATAACCTGAAACAGAAAATTGTAATTTATGATACGCATCATGAGGAAAGAAGGTTCAGAAAATTCGACACTCACAGTAAAGACTGACAGAGCCAAACCGCGAATAACCGATCTAACGAATCTATCTAAATTAATAGCAGAATTGAGAATGGGAGGGATAATAAGAGGAGAATGATTTCTCAGTTCTAAAATGGATAGGAAGCTATGGAGTGCCTTAATAGCCAACGTACAAACAAGGCACATAAAAGAAAAAAATGAAGTAATATTTTTTTTTGCATTTTATTGCTCGCAAGCCCCTTTAAAAATGAACCCTATTCAGATGCAAGTCAAAAACAAAGAGTAATATGTTATGGGATCTTACCCATAATAATATAATGGACTATTCCATACGTAATATATACTGCGCCTCAAGAGGAAGCAGGGAGTTCAGTCCGAAGTCGGGCGACCGGCTGATCGGCTGATCGGTTGAACTCTCTGCCTTCGGGCGGGGAGGAACCTGAACGAGGCTACGCCGATGGGCGGAGTCTCTTTCGGGGAGGTAAACCGACCCTGAACCCATTAATACGGATTCAAAGGGAATATTTTTGGGCCGAGCGCACTGGCTCGGAAAACCCACAATAAATAACCGACATTGTGTCACATGATGCCCCAGTTGGGGGGAAGACTGAATATCTCTTCAGTCTGTAGTCGGACGACCGGCTGACAGGCTGATCGGTTGAACTCTCTGCCTTCGGGCGGGGAGGAACCCGAACGAGGCTATGCCGAAGGGCGGAGTCTATTTCGGGGAGGTAAACCGACCCTGAACCCGTTTATATGGGTTCAAAGGGCATATTTTTGGGCCGAGCCCACGGGCTCGGAGATCCCACGTTAAACCGGCCTTGTGCCACATGATAACCTCGAGGGTGGGTGACTAAATACCGTTCAGTCTGAAGTCTGGAGTGAGGTCCGTCAGGAGTCTGTCAGTCAGTCAGAGCGAGCGAGTCAGTCGAGTCAGAGGCAGTCCGAAACAGACTCGCGTTCAGACAATTTCTACAAGACATTGGAATAGTGATACTGGTCGAGACTACATTGTTCTCTCTCCTAAACCTGATTGTTCATACTAACACTTCTACTTCTCTGTATATATTCCTGTTTGTAATATATCTGTGTTATTCCATATCCGTGTTCGAGTTCTTCTTTATTGGTTCTACCTTGGACCATCACCGTGGTACAAGGAACCGGACCATAACAAATAGAATTTCTGTTTTTGGAAGAAGAAAGCGCCACAAACATTCACATGATGTTAGTGAACGACAGGAAAAAAAAATCGAAATTTCGAGACAGATGTTTAAGGCAGAGGGAAAATTATACCCAAAGGTTTCTGGGTGAAAATCAGTAACATACTTTTAGAAATTATGTCCAACAATTTATTCTATTTCTTACAACGTCAAAACTCATTTGAAGATGGGTGATGTTCTTATCTTTTTTAAATACTACCCTGTACAAGACCCAAGAGCCACTCGAGGTAGAGGGTTACAGAGTAAGAGGTACAGTTTACGCGGATATTTTGGGGAATATAATGGGCTGCCCTAGACTTGAACCGGTTAAGATTCTAGTGATAGGGAAAGCACCCTCTTTGGAGTCGATTCCACAAAGCTGCGGTTCTTGAGAAGCTGCTGCTCGAGTGAAAGTTACATGGGATAAGAATGGAATGAGGGTGGTTCGCTACAATGTGCCTGGCATGGCAAGGTGAGTCTTAGCCATGAAGGTTCGATCCGTTGAAAGCGAGAGGCGTCCGACATTTCGACTGCGAGAAAGGGGATATCAAAATATGCTGTGATGGTCCTAGTAAGAGACATGATAGACGTGAGCGATAACCCCAATGGTGTCACTATGAAAACTCAAAGAGGCCGAAGTTAAACACACACACACACACACACACACACACACACACACACACACACACACATGCCTCCCCTCTCTCTCTCTCTCTCTCTCTTTCTCTTTCTCTCTCTCTCTCTCCCCCTCTTCGGTTATCTACGTCTCTTTTTATATACATGTGCGGATGTCAGTGTATATTTATGGGGAGGGGGGATTTATAGCAAAAATATGAAATAATATTAAAATTTTAATATAAATGTAAAGAAAAATAATATATATATATATATAGAATAAAATGTTATAAAAAGGAATTATATAAAATAAAAAGAAATATAATAAAAAAAAATATGAATTAATTAAGTATAAGGGAATTATTTACCCTAGACTTGAACAGGTTAAGATTCTAGTGATAGGGATAGCATCCTCTTTGGAGTCGATTCCACAAAGCTGCGGTTCTTGAGAAGGTTGTATGGAATACGAATGGAATGAAGATGGTTCGCTACAATGTACCTGACATGGCAAGGTGAGTCTTAGCCATGAAGTTTCGATCTAGTGAGATAAAAGGAATGTAGTTCGTTTGAACACTTTCCGTTGAAAGCGAGAGACGTACGACATTTGGATTGCGAGGAAAGGGATCTATAAATCAACAATTCGCCCTTGCATGGAGTATTGCTGCCATATATGGTCTGGAACCCCTTCTGTTTGCCTCGGGGTTCTTGATAGGCTCCAGAGGCGGATATGCAATATAATTGGCCCTGCTCTGGCATCTCGTCTACAGTCACTTTCTCACAGACGCGCCGTCGCCTCCCTCTGTCTGTTCTACAAATACTTTCATGGAAATTGATTCGAGGAGCTGCAATCGCTGGTTCCCAGAATTCATGAGTTCAAGCGCCCTACGCGGCTGGCATCCCGCTCTCACCCTTTCACTGTCGATACTCCTAAATGTAGCCGTCTCTTCTACTCCAATAGCTTCATGTCTCGCACCTCTCACCTGTGGAACTCCCTTCCCTATTCCTGTTTCCCTGTGAGCTATAATCTCCAGCTATTCAAATGTAATGTCAATCGACATCTCCAGTTGCCTTGATCTATCCACTATCCTTCTGCTCATCCTTTCTTCTATCAATCCTATCTGATCTTCTGTAACCCCTTGCGTCCTAGTGGCTTCTCGCCTTGCTTGGGGTGAAACGCTTAAAAAAATAAAATAAAATAAATATGATGTGATGGTCCTAGTAAGCGTCATGCTCGACGTGAGCGATAACCCTAATGTTGCCGTTATGAAAACTCAAAGAGGCCGGAGTGGTTTTTTTTTTTTTTTCTTAAGCAAGGTTCACCTTCATAGAACCACTGAAGTAGCGGGTTACATTTTGGGGCAATTTGTGTGTATAATTAGTGTAAGATACCGGTTATTGTAGTGATCAGGGAAGCATCCTCTTGGGAGTCGATTCCATAAAACAGCGGTTCGTTGGAAGAAGCTGCTCGAGTGGAACTCACATCTCACCAGTGACATATTTTTAGAATTTATTCCCAATGACTTATTCTGGTACTTACATCGTCTAAACACATTTCAAGATATGTGATATATATATATATATTTGTGTGTGTATGTGTGTATATTACCGTCATTTATGCAAGCAACAATAAAACTTATATTTATTTTCCCTAATCATTTCATTTGAGTTATCAATGTGCTTAATTCACATGGAACGTTAACCACAAAGGCCGAGCATTATACAATGATATTTTAAGATCAAAATGCAGCTAATAACTACTGGTCTGACTGGAAACTTATTGATCCACCTTCGTATAATGCATACGCACGCGCACACACAAATCTCTCTCTCTCTATCCCCACATACCTCTATATATATATATATAACGTCTACAGCTCATCAGTGCGGCTAGACATCCGGTTGCCTCTAGCTAGGATCGAAACCCGACTGAATTGGTGTCAATCGAAGCTTCTAACCACCAAGCCGTCGGCGCAAGGCAGGGATGAAGGTGGATTTTTAGCATATTTATTTTTAGAAACATGCCCAGTGACTGACAGTGACTCAATTCGCTTTCGTGAAGAGTCTCGCTATATATATATATATGAAGAAAAATATACTGAAAAAACAAACAAAAATCCTAATATGCGATTATGTTGTATTAATGTTTAATGTCAACGTCGGACGTTTCGGTCTAATAGACCAACTTCATAGTCGGATCTATATCCATATATTTGCTTACACACACACACACACACACACACACACACATACATATATATATATCATTGAATAATTTTGACAAGTTTTGTCTACTTATTTTCACGGACAATCTTTTTAGTATCCTTATTAAAGTAAGAGAGAAAATTAACATGTTGATATAGATTTATTTATTCCGAGTACTTTCGACATCAGTATCATATCATCATCAGTGCGTTGTTCTTTCTCAGATAAAAATTGTTGTGTTCGTCATTTTTCTAAGACAACGCTTTTGTGTTCATCTGAAAGTTAAATTTTTCACTTGTGAAATGAAAAACGGTAAAGTTATGTACTGTACGATTTAATTTTCATGATTTTAACGTCAGGGCCGAGATTGAACTCACCAATACTTTGATTGGTGTAGTTCATAATCTTGTCAAGTAGCTGAATTCTTGATGCTTCGCTAGGGCTATCAAGGGTGTTTTTATCGTGACACAAACACTAAATGGATTGCCAACCAAGGCTCAGAGAGACTCCATTCACCCTCCTCTAAGAGTAGGTTTGAATTCAGAGTTTTCCTTCTCCTAGACCAGTTGCCATCCAAGGCTATAGAACCCAGTCTGTCCTGCTATTTACCCATAGCTGGAGGGAGAAGAAAGATGATTCACACTTTTCCCAAGGGTGTTAGCACGTAAGTGAATGTAATGGATTCGAATGGAATTCGAACTCGGCTCTCCGATTCCTCAATCCAAGCCGCTATCCATTACTTCACTGTGCCTCCAGGGGATGTAACTAAGTTATGAAATGTCTAAATGTTGTTTTTGTTTTTTAACAAGGAAACTATTTAAAACTATTTGTTAAGACCTATTATTTTAGACTATCTACTGTAAACACTTTCGAACATTTATTAAGGGTTGGTTTCAATTTGTTAATATAGATAGCTTTAAGAATTCTTAGATTATGTATATTAATATTACTTTCATGAAAAATATAGCTGAAGACTAAAAATAAGTAGACATAACTTGTGTAAATTATTCAATTAGATACTTCTTGCTGAAAACATACTGCCATAACACACACACACACACACACACACACACAGACATGCTGCCACAATACTCACGCACAATAATAATGTGTGTATATGTGAGTGGCTGTGTGTGTATGTATATGTGTATATCATATGCATATATGTGTAGGCTGATTCCTTATTATAAGACATTAAGTATATATGGGGAGCGAATTTACATATGCAGGCTAACAGGGAGAGGAAGACGCCTCTCATCAACACATCTTGCATCACCAGATCACATACCAAACCTAATGGTTTTATTAACACTTTGGCAGAAATTCACTTTTGCCAACAATTCAGAAAAGAGTTCAAAAGCTCACTAACAAATACAGAAAACGAACAATGAGACATTAAAAGAACATAGGGAAAATTTATTCTAGTTATTTGCCTGAAGAAGGTCACGAGACGGAAAACACATGTAGCAGAAGTATGAAGAATAAAATATAATATATATACTAAAATAAATCGGCATTATAACAAAAAACGTTTATGGTTTCTCTCTTCTTTTTTAAATATATTTTTCATTTTTCATTATATATATATATATATATATATATATATATATATATATATATATATATAGTTGATGACGTGTTTCGTAATCTATATGGATAATTCCAAGGAGGAATTAGGTTCGAATTTCGATCCTAAGGAAATAAATTATAATCATCATGAAACGTTACAGTTGTCTGTTTCTTAATAATTAATATATATATATATATATATATATATATATATATATATATATATATATATATATATATATGTGTGTGTGTGTGTGTGTGTCTGTGTGTTTGTGTGTATGTGTGTGTGTGTGTGTGAGTGTGTCTGAAAAGTATATATAAATATAGATAAATATATGTATAATTATTTATATATTATATGCGCGGTACTTATTAGAAAGCGGTCAAAATCAGAGATAGAGCTAACATATTTGGTTGGATAGAGTTTGTCTGACGATCGCTAAAGCGTGAAACCCAGGATCACAAACTCACATCTATCCAACCAAATATATATATATATATATATATATAGATATATATATATATATATATATATATATATAGGGAGAGAGAGAGAGAGAGATAGCAAAAGAGATAGAGGGAGAGAGAGAAAGAGGAGAGAGATAGCAAAAAGAGATAGAGGGAGGAGAGAGAGATAGCAAAAAATAGAGAGGGGCAAAAAGAGAGAGGGGAGAGAGATAGCAAAATAGATAGAGGGGAGAGAGATAGAAGGAGAGAGAGAGAGAGAGCAAAAAGAGATAGAGGAGAGAGAAAGAGAGAGAGAAAATAAAGAGGGAGAGAGATAGCAAAAAGAGATAGAGGGAGAGAGAGAGAGATAGCAAAAAGAGATAGAGGGGGAGAAAGAGAGAGATAGCAAAAGAGATAGAGGGAGAGAGAAAGAGAGAGAGATAGCAAAAGAGATAGAGGGAGAGAGAAAGAGAGAGAGATAGCAAAAGAGATAGAGGGAGAGAGATAGCAAAATAGATAGAGGGAGCGAGAGAGATAGCAAAAGAGATAGAGGGAGAGAGAAAGAGAGAGAGAGATAGCAAAAGAGATAGAGGGAGAGAGAGAGAGATAGCAATAGAGAAAAAGAGAGAGATGGCAAAAGAGATAGAGGGAGAGAGAGAGATAGCAAAAGAGATAGAGGGAGAGAGAGAGATAGCAAAAGAGATAGAGGGAGAGAGAGAGAGACAGAGAGAGGGGGGATAAATTTCAACAGGTAAGACATAGCTGCAACACTCCGCACATTTCTCATGCTCCTTCGACATTAACAACTTGCACACGAGGTTAACTGGTGGAAGTTGTTTGCGTGGAAATATTTTTAGGTCTTTGCGCTGCGTGCTTCGAAAAAATATCGATTACTTACCATCCCCACCATCTCATCAAGTGCAAAAATACTCCTCTCTCTCTCTCTCTCTCTCTCTCTCACTCTTTTACTTCCTCCTACTGCCCCCACCGTTGTCCTTTACGCCACTGTCATGGCCCTCATTATTATGATTGGCGCTGTCATCGTCGCCGTGGCCGTCATCTTCAACCCAAACCCGGTGCTGTAAGTACACCCTACATCAAATGATAAATAATGAATGACAGAGAGATATGTGTTTGTTTTTAGATTAACCCATTAGTATATTAAGCAGACGTATTATATGTAGAATGACATCAGATAAAAAAATCTAATTATTATTATTATTATTATTATTACTAATATTATTGTTGTTGTTGTTGTTATTCTCGTGTTAGCAAGAAAACAGAATTAAATTTAGTTCTAGCGATGATAATTAAACTTGATCTATCATTTTTTAACTACATTAATAGGTAGTGAATTTCTTCGAAGACCATGTGACAGCAAGTCACATCTATACTCCAGGATTCTCCTCAGTACTAGAACCCTTTTCAACAATGCCGTTATATGAATAAGTCCACATCTTCTAATTTCAGTTGCAACACGCCTTTTTCCCATGCACAACACCATTCCCAGGACATTCCTCTATACCCGAACCGTTTGCAATAAAGCCATCACCTGAATTGTTCCTTGTCTTCCTTTAATTTCAATTAAATCTGAATTGTTCCACATCTTACTCTAATTTCAATTCCCAGCAGAATATATCCCATCCGTGAGGTCGTTCCCAGGAGCCTCCTCTATACTCGAACCGTTTGCAATAGAGCCGCCATCTGAATTGTTCCACATCTTACTCTAATTTTAATTCCCAGCAGAATATATCCCATCCGTGAGGTCGTTCCCAGGAGCCTCCTCTATACTCGAACCGTTTGCAATAGAGCCGCCATCTGAATTGTTCCACATCTTACTCTAATTTCAATTCCCAGCAGAATATTTCCCATGCTAAAGACTATTACTAAGACACTTCTTTCTACACGAACCGTTTGCAGTAAAGAGATCATCTGATTGTTCCACGTGTTCGTTTAATTTCAATTCCCACAACTCTTTATCACATCAGCGAAAACGTTCTTAGGAGTCTCCTTTGTACTCAAACGTTTTGCAATAAAGCTATCGTCTGAATTGTTTTACGTCTTCCACCCATTTCGAATTCTTCTACGTTCTCTTATGAGCGAGACCATTCCCAGGACTCTACTCTGTATTCAAACCAATTACAAGAAAACCATCTTCAGAATTGTTCCACACCCTCTGTGAAGCTACCCACCTCTGCACTCGTTGCACAAGATATAGACCCCACGTCGTAGAATTTCTGTGCGGTGGATCGAGCGAAAGGCAGGTTTCCATGCAAAAGAAAAACACAACTACAAACTTGGGTAGAACGAAAAGAGGAAGGAGGGCGTGTGACCTTTTGTGGATAGTTAACTCTGGGCTGATTCTCGGCTGGCAAAAAAAAATATATATCCTAACTAACAATGTCCGGCTGCTCGGGTGTCGCTCTTCGTTGCTACTTGCTACGGCCTGAATCCCTTCCTCGAACCTAAATTAGTCTGCCACTAACCCAAGCGTTCCCGTATATATGCAGAGTCCTCTGTCATCATTTCCGGGCAAGGGACACCCACGAATAAACCCATAACTTTTTCATGACTATTTCTCCCTTTGAAGAAAGTGGACATAAAAATATTTCCTAGCCTAGCTGACTCCGATTCAGGGACATTAAATTCAGACCCTTTTAAGTTTTGACCAGAGCCGGTCTTTTAACTATCTTCGTATTTTGACACGTACTTAACACTTATCTACCCTTTTGGCCATATGTCCAAAACATGTTTTTATCTAGATTCCTAATCTAGTCATTGGGTCTTGAAGTTTGATACCCAGGTCAAATCTAACTAATCTTCTCACACATATGTGTGCGCGCGCACGCACACACAGGTGTGTGGGTGTATATATACACACACACACACAGATGTGCGGGCGCACACACACACGCGTGAGTATATATCCAACTCATGGTGTCACACCCTCCTCTAATTTCAATTGGAACCAACTTTTTTGCAATGCACAAGACCGTTCTAAAAACCGTCCTTAGTACTCGAACCGTTTGCAATAAAGCCGCCATCTGAATTGTTCCACGTCTTCCTCTAATTTCAATTCTCAGCAGAATTTGTCCCATCGAGATCGTTCCCAGGAGTCTCTCTTTTTGCAATAAAGCCGCCATCTGAATTGACCGTTCTAAAATTCTCAGCAGAATTTGTCCCATCCGCGAGATCGTTCCCAGGAGTCTCCTCTACTCGAACCGTTTGCAATAAAGCCGCCATCTGAATTGTTCCACGTCTTCCTCTAATTTCAATTCTCAGCAGAATTTGTCCCATCCGCGAGATCGTTCCCAGGAGTCTCCTCTGCACTCGAACCGTTTGCAATAAAGCCGCCATCTGAATTGTTCCACGTCTTCTAAAATCTCAGCAGAATTTGTCCCATCCGCGAGATCGTTCCCAGGAGTCTCCTCTGCACTCGAACCGTTTGCAATAAAGCCGCTATCTGAATTGTTCCACATTTTCCTCTAATTTCAATTCCCAGCAAAATATATCCCATCCGTGAGGTCGTTCCCAGGAGCCTCCTCTTTACTCGAACCGTTTGCAATAGAGCCGCCATCTGAATTGTTCCACGTCTTACTCTAATTTCAATTCCCAGCAAAATATATCCCATCCGTGAGGTCGTTCCCAGGAGCCTCCTCTTTATTCGAACCGCTTGCAATAGAGCCGCCATCTGAATTGTTCCACGTCTTCCTCTAATTTCATTTCCCAGCAGAGATTTTCCTATGCTTAAGACCGTTTCCAGGAGACTTCTTTCTACCCGAAATGTTTGCAATAAAGCCATCATCTGATTGTTCCACGTGTTTTTCTTTCAATTCCCACAAGTCTTTTCCGCATGAGCGAGATCGTTCCGATGATTTTCCTCTTTACTCAAACCTCTTGCAGTAAAGCTATCGACTGAATTGTTTCACGTCTTCCACTCATTTCGATTCACACCTATTTTTTTTCAATACGCGTGTCTGTTCCCAAGACTCTCGTCTATAACCGAACAGTTTGCAAGAAAGTCATCATCTGAACTGTTCCACATTTTCCTCTAATTTCAATTGCAACCAGCCTTTTTCCCAAGCGCGAGACAGTTCTTAGTTGTTTCCTCGATGACAGCCTCTTTAAAATAAATCCATCATCTTAATTTTTCTACTTCTTCCTCCAATTTCAATTGCAACAATCCTTTTTTCCCAGGCTCGAGACTGTTTCCCAAGACACTCCTCTGTACCCAAAACCGTTTGTAATAAAGCCATCATCTGAATTCTTCCACGTCTTTCACTGATTTCAATTCCCAGCAGAATTTATCCCATCCGCGAGATCGTTCCCAGGAGTCTCCTCTGTACTCAAACCGTTTGCAATAAAGCCGCCATCTGAATTGTTCCACGTCTTCCTCTAATTTCAATTCCCAGCAGAATTTGTCCCATCCGCGAGATCGTTCCCAGGAGTCTCCTCTGCACTCGAACCGTTTGCAATAAAGCCGCCATCTGAATTGTTCCACGTCTTCCTCTAATTTCAATTCCCAGCAGAATTTGTCCCATCCGCGAGATCGTTCCCAGGAGTCTCCTCTGCACTCGAACCGTTTGCAATAAAGCCGCCATCTGAATTGTTCCACGTCTTACTCTAATCTCGATTCACACCTGTGCTTTTTCAATGCGCGTGACAGTTCCCAGAACTCTCGTCTGTACTTGAACCATTTGCAAGAAAGCCATCATTTGAACTGTTCCACGTCTTCCTATAATTTAACGTCCAAACAGTTTTTTTTCACATGCACGAGAACATTCCCATGAGTCTCCCCTGTACTCGAACCTTTTACAACAAAGCCATCATCTGAATTGTTCCACGTCTTCCTCTAATTTGAATTTCCACCAGCAATTTTGCCATGCGCGTGACAGTTCCCAGGACTCTCGTCAGTACTTGAACCATTTGCAATAAGCCATCATTTTTGAACTAATTTCAGACTTTTTCCTTCCGTTCATAATTTCGTTTCCAAAACAATATATTTTTTTCATTGCCATCGAGAACATTCCCATGAGTAGCAGGCAAGTGGTAACTGAAACGTTTTACAGAGAAAATATCTTCATCTGAAATTGTTAGACTGCTGAATTTGAATTTCCACCTCCTCCTTTTGGCAATCGATGACAGTGAACAACTCCACGCCGATAACCAGAGACTTGAGACAACAAATAAGTCATTTTTCAGACTAATTAATAAACTTTTTCCTGTAACGTTAAGATTTTCGGAAATAATGTCAATATAGAGAGATTATGTATTGAAATCTTTCAATATTCTTAATGACGAAAGGAGGCTTGGGAATTTGAACGTTTTAAGAGAAAATATCTTCAGAAAGAAAGCATAGACTGCTGAAGTGTTATGTCATATCACTCCTCCTCTATGGCAATCGATGCTGAACAACTTCCACGCCGATAACGAGTAGACTTGAGACAACAAATAAGTGTTTCTACAGAAGAATCCTAATAAATACCAGCCTGTAACGCATAAGATTTTAAGGAAATAAGAAAAAGAGAGAGGGTTGAAATCTTTAGGGCACATAATGAGGAAAGGAGGCTTGGGGAATTTGATACGCTTTGTATATAATGAAACATTATGAACTAGGATGTGTAAAATGATGGAAGGAGAGGGACTGATAGTAATAATAAGCTGACAAACAAGACGGCATACAACACAAAGGAGAAGAAGAAATTGAAGAAGAAGGTGAGGAAACGAAGAAGAAAAAGAAGAAGAAGGCAAAGAAAAAGAAGGACAAAGTGAAGATGAAGAAGGTGAAGAGGAAGAAGAAAAAGAAGATGAAAAAGAAGAAGAAGAAGAAGAAAAAGCAGAAGAAGAAGAAGAAGAAGAAGAAAAAGAAGAAGAAGAAGAAAAGAAGAAGAAGAAGAAGAAGAAGAAGAAGAAGAAGAAGAGAGGAGGAAGAAGAAGAAGAAGAAAAGAAGAAGAAGAAGAAGAAAAAGAAGAAGAGGAAGAAGAAGAAGTAGAAGAAGAAGAAGAAGAAGAAGAAAAAGAAGAAGAAGAAGAAGAAGAAGAAGAAGAAGAAGAAGAAGAAGAAAAAGAAGAAGAGGAAGAAGAAAAAGAAGAAGAAGAAGAAGAAGAAAAAGAAGAAGAAGAAGAAGATGGTCAAAGAGAAGGCGAAGAAGAAGGTGAAGAAGAAGGAGAAGGGGGATAGAAAGAATAAGAGAAATAATAGCAATAATAATAATAATTATAAGAAGAAGGAGAAGACGAAGACGAAGAAATAGAAGAAAATGCGAAGAAGAAGAAGAAAAAAATAAGAAAGTGAAGAAGAAAGAAGGTGAAGAAGCAGGAAAAGGAGGTTAAAATAATAATAATAAGAAGAAGAAGAAGAAGAAGAAGAAGAAGAAAAAGAAGAAGAAGAAGAAGAAGAAGAAAAAAGAAGAAGAAGAAGAAAAAGAAGAAGAAGAAGAAGAAGAAGAAGAAGAAGAAGAAGACGAAGAAGAAGAAGAAAAAGAAGAAGAAGAAAAAGAAGAAGAAGAAGGAGAAGAAGAAGAAAAAGAAGAAGAAGAAGAAGAAGAAAAAGAAAAAGAAGAAGAAAAAGAAGAAGAAGATATATAAAAAAAGAGAAGAGAAATAACAATAAAAAAAGAAAAAAGTCTATGCATGTTCAGCTGGCCTTACGTTTAACAGTCTGCGAGTTGGAGGCTCGGTGGGACATTATTGCTTGTTACTTCCGACCAGATCAAAAGAAATGCTGGTCATATTTAATAATATTTAAAATTGATTATTTTTATTGTCATCTAACTAGTAGACGTTCATGCCTCTCCACAATTTCCTTTTCTTTAATCTCTGTGAATTGCCATGTCTTACTGGGATAGATCGTGAAATAGTTTCACGTTTCCTTCTCCATGTTTTGGAATCCAGATTCTTTCTTATCTTAGGTTGCCACTCAAGTCTTGTGAATCCCTTTTCTGAATCAAAGGAAAACTCACTGATTAATCAATGCTGGTAAACCGAACGAGCTGTTTTGTATCGTTATAATATATCTGTATTATTGTTTTAAGGTAATATATATATATATATATTTTGTTACCACCTCTTTTTGTTATGAAATGCATTTTGATATATCTGCTTTTATCGCGTTAATAAACACGACAAATCCAAAAAACGGACATGATGAAAGAAAGTGGGAAAAAAAGATGGGGAAGGAGAAGAAAAATGGAAGAAGTAAAAAGGCATAAAATAAGAAAAGAGTGTGAGGAACCAAAGAAGATGAAGGAGGAAAGAAAGCGAAGAAGAAAAAAGCGAGAAAAGAAAAGGAAAAAGAAGACAATGAAGGAATTACAAAGGGAAAAAAAAGACCTCAAGAAAAATGAAAAAAAAGAGAAAAGAAAATATACGAGGAAAGAAAAAAAAACGAACTGAAAGGGATGAAGAGAAAGAGAAAAATGAAGAGAAAAAAAATAAAGAAAAATAGAGAAGGAAAAAAAGTAAAAAGAGATGAAAAAAGTCCGAGCCAGGATAAGATGAGATAAAAAAAGAAAATAGGGGCAGAAAAAGGGAAAAAGAAGAAAACAAAGAAGTATGAGAAAGACAGTAGAAAGAAAGAGGAAGAGAAGAAGTAGATAAATAGAGGAATAAAAAGGAGAAAGAAAGAGAGAATAAAACTGTAATAAGAATAAAGAACGTACACAGAAGAAAATATAAGAACGAGAAAAAAGAAAAAGAAAAGAGAAAGGACAAATGATAGCAAGAAAAAGAGGAAAAGACGTAGTAGTAGTAGATGAAGAAGAAGAAGAAGAAAAAAGGACAACAAGGCGAGAAAGAAGAAATCAATGAATAAAGAACAAACAATAGCAAGAAGAGAAGAAAAATGACAATGAGAGGATGAAGAGAAGAAAGAAAAGACAGGTGTTAGCAAGAAGAAGAAGAAGAAGAAGAAGAAGAAGAAGAAGAAGAAGAGGAAAGGCAACGAGGCGAGAAAGAAGACAAAAGAAAGAAAAGACGAACGATAGAAAGAAGTTGATGAAGAAGGACAAGAAGGCGAGAAAAGAAATAAAGAAAGAAACGGCAAATGATAGAAAGAAGAAAAGAAAAATGAGAGCGAGAGGAGAAACAGAAGAAAAAAAAAGACAAATGATAGCAAGAAGAAGAAGAAGAAAAAGAAGAAAAAGAAGAAAAAGAAGAAGAAGAAGAAGAAGAAGAAAAAGAAGAAGAAATATAAGAAAGTGAAGAAAGAAGGTGAAGGTGAAGAAGAAGATGAAGAAGAAAGAAAAGGAGGATAAAAAGAATAATATTAATAATAATAATAATAATAATAATTAGAAGAAAAAGAAGAAGAAGGCAAAGAAAAAGAAAGACAAAGTGAAGATGGAGAAGGTGAAGAAGAAGAAGAAGAAGAAGAAGAAAAAGAAGAAGAAGAAGAAGAAAAAGAAGAAGAAGAAGAAGAAGAAGAAAAAGATGAAAAAGAAAAAGAAGAAGAAGAAGAAAAAGAAGAAGAAGAAGAAGAAGAAGAAGAAAAAGAAGAAGAAGAAGAAGAAGAAGAAGAAATCAAAGGGAGAAGATACTGAAAAGAAAAGAAATAAAAAGAAAGAAAGAGTGGCAATGATAGTATTAATTGTAATAGGAGTAGTATTGAAAAGAAGAAAAAATCAAGGAAAAATTGAAGAAGAAGAAAAGAAGAAAAGAAGTATCAAGGAAAGTGATCATAGAAAAAAAAAGAAAAGAAATAAAAAGAAGAAGAAGAAGAAGAAGAAGAAGAAGAAGAAGAAGAAGAAGAAAAATCATAGAAAAAAGGAAGAAAATACTGAAAAGAAAAGAAAGAAAAAAAGAAAGAAAGAGTGGGGAATGATAGTATTAATTGTAATAGGAGTAGTAGTAGAAATAATTGAAAAAAGAAGAAAAAAGAGTATCAAGGAAAAGTGATCATAGAAAAAAAAGAAGAAGAAGAAATCAAAGGGAGAAGATACTGAAAAGAAAAGAAATAAAAAGAAAGAAAGAGTGGCAATGATAGTATTAATTGTAATAGGAGTAGTAGTAGAAATAATTGAAAAAGAAGAAAAAGAGTATCAAGGAAAAGTGATCATAGAAAAAAGAAGAAGAAGAAGAAGAAGAAGAAATCAAAGGGAGAAGATACTGAAAAGAAAAGAAATAAAAAGAAAGAAAGAGTGGGAATGATAGTATTAATTGTAATAGGAGTAGTAGTAGAAATAATTGAAAAAGAAGAAAAAGAGTATCAAGGAAAAGTGATCATAGAAAAAAGAAGAAGAAGAAATCAAAGGGAGAAGATACTGAAAAGAAAATAAAAAAAAGAAAGAAAGAGTGGCAATGATAGTATTAATTGTAATAGGAGTAGTAGTAGAAATAATTGAAAAAGAAGAAAAAAAAAGAAAAATCAAGAAAAAAAGAAGAAGAAGGAAAAGGGAGAAGATACTGAAAAAAAAAGAAGAAAAAAAAGAAAAAGAATGAAGTAAATTCAAAGGAGAAGATACTGAAAAAATGAAAAAGAAAAAGAAAAAGAAAGAAAAGTGGATCATAGAAAATGAATAGAAGAAATTGTAAGGGAGAAGATACTGAAAAGAAAGAAATAAAAAAAAAGAAGAAAAGATAGTATAAAGGAAAGGTGAGTAGTAGAAATAAGAAAAAAAAGAAGAAGAAAAGATCATAGAAAAAGAAGAAGAAGAAGAAATCAAAGGAGAAGATACTGAAAATAAAAAGAAAAAAAAAGAAAGAAAGAGGGGAATGATAGTATTAATTGTAATAGGAGTAGTAGTAGAAATAATTGAAAAGAAGAAAAAAGAGTATCAAGGAAAAGTGATCATAGAAAAAAGAAGAAGAAGAAGAAGAAGAAATCAAAGGAGAAGATACTGAAAAAGAAAAGAAAAAAAAGAAAGAAAGAGTGGCAATGATAGTATTAATTGTAATAGGAGTAGTAGTAGAAATAATTGAAAAAGAAGAAAAAGAGTATCAAGGAAAAGTGATCATAGAAAAAAGAAGAAGAAGAAATCAAAGGGAGAAGATACTGAAAAGAAAAGAAATAAAAAGAAAGAAAGAGTGGCAATGATAGTATTAATTGTAATAGGAGTAGTAGTAGAAATAATTGAAAAAGAAGAAAAAGAGTATCAAGGAAAAGTGATCATAGAAAAAAGAAGAAGAAGAAGAAGAAGAAGAAGAAGAAGAAGAAGAAATCAAAGGGAGAAGATACTGAAAAGAAAAGAAATAAAAAGAAAGAAAGAGTGGCAATGATAGTATTAATTGTAATAGGAGTAGTAGTAGAAATAATTGAAAAAGAAGAAAAAGAGTATCAAGGAAAAGTGATCATAGAAAAAAGAAGAAGAAGAAGAAGAAATCAAAGGGAGAAGATACTGAAAAGAAAAGAAATAAAAAGAAAGAAAGAGTGGAAATGATAGTATTAATTGTAATAGGAGTAGTAGTAGAAATAATTGAAAAAGAAGAAAAAGAGTATCAAGGAAAAGTGATCATAGAAAGAAGAAGAAGAAGAAGAAGAAGAAGAAGAAGAAGAAGAAGAAGAAAGAAAGGGCAGAAAGCACGGTAGAATGTATAAAATAACTCTGGTTTGCGTTTTGAATGAAATATATTTTTCCCGTTACATCTATCTTCCAGGAACCGTTCTCCTCTCAAGGACTTCCCTGTACTCATTTACTTTTCCAAGGACGCACCTGACACTCTCCTCCCCAATGCAGGCGACACTCACTCCAACGCATTACCATCTTCATTTCCTTTCCTCCCTCTCCCTCTGGCGAATCACTTTTTCGCTTTTTCTTTGGCTTCTTCGGCGTTTTCTCACACACTTGCAGGCATCTCTTTTCTTAGCAAGAGATGTTGGCTTCATCTCAGTTAGCAAGAGAGAGAGAGAAAGAGAGAGAGAGAGAGGGGGGGAGATTCACGTAGGAGGAGAAAGCGAGGATGTTCTATTAAATAAAAGAAAAAGATTTTCTTTGCAAAGTTATTTCCTCAGATGCAATACTCGTCCCTATTTAAAGCCAACGTCAAAAAAACAAATAATCGAAATTCGAATTCGAGTAATTCTGTTTTTGGTACATAAGGCTTAAGCCTCAGAAATGCCGCATAAATTTATACATACACCTATAGATATGTATAAATTCATACATACAAATATAGATATGCTTCACTGCACACACACGCACACACACATACACACACACATATACACATTCTTCAGTACCTGTCTATATTTCGGAGATGAGGTATTATGTACACTATTTACATTATTCGGACTATTGTCCTCATCTTTGTCGCCATATTTATTACAACGTTTCGGCCGTTGTACGCTCCGGTGGTTGAAATGTCGAACTGAACCCTTTATTTTGCTCACTGCGGTATACTGTTCTAGTTCCACGTGATATGTCTTGAGGACACATAGCACAGTGGATAAAGGCGTTGGTTAGATCCAGTGATAGGACCCAAAGAGTGTGAGTTCAATACCTGGTTAAGGCAGTGGAGAACTTGGAGACGGGAATTAACAGGAGATAACCATTTACATCCATTAACCATGGCACGTGGAAATAGAACAGTCTACCTCAGTGAGCGGAATAAAGGGTTCTTCAGTTCGGCATTCCAACCACCTGAAGAAGGCCGGAGCGTACAACGGCCGAATCGTTGTAATAAATATGGCGACAGAGATGAGGACAATAGTCTGAATAATGTAAATAGTAAACACATTATTATATAATTATATCATTTAAAATTTAGTATATTTATGAGGTAAAGGCTTTGTATCATTTGTAGCGATGTACTACTCTTCTTTGTGTCGGCAGTTTATATACAACATTTAGGTTATTTAATATCTAAATCTTTTTATTTTACTTGAATCTATAGATGAATATTCATTTCATCATCTGTCCCATGAACGAGTTCGGACATAAGGTTGCACCTCAGTTTAGCATTTGACCTATCCTTTTCATATGTCTCAATTGCCTACAACTATTTGGGTCTCTGAGAAAGATCTTGCAGTCCTCTCAGTGACGTTTTGAATGATTTTCCAGTCGACTCAGTCACGTGTTAATCCGATTTTATCCTCCTTCAGTATCTTAGTAGCTAGTACGATGTCAGTAGAATGACTGTTGGCTATTTTGTCGTGTCCTCTGCCAATTCAAACTTCGCTTCTTGACGGTCGTTATGAGGTCTTCCAACATGGCTTTCTTGCGTTTGATGCTGCCCCGCATTGCATCATTTTTAATGCTGTCTTTGGACAATATCTCTTGGGTGGTTCTGTAGCATTTCCTTTCTAATGATTGAATTCTTCGCTATAGTTCGGCTGTTAATATCCAGGATTCGCAGACGTACAGAAAGATTGAGACGGACAATGCTCCCAACTAATAAAATATTTGTCGTATTTATACTTGACTCTATGTAATCATTGCTCGTCTTTATACTTGAGGCTATAGGTAAAAATTGGTCAATTTTATACTTGAGTCAATACGTAAATATTGACTGTGTGCATACGCGAGTCTATAGGTATATATTTGTGTTTCCTCGGTAAAATTTTTTTGTCCGTACTCGATTTCAAACAGCAGGTGACTACCGAAAGCGTAAAACAAAAATTAATGTTGGCATGCCATGGAAAAGAATGATTTAGAAATACTATAAATTATTCTTATGAAGATAAATTGAAGATTCCACCAGCTAAAAGTGCCCTACAACCGATCTATTACAATATATTCCCTTTCCTTACCAAATTAGTATAGAAAACAATGTTGTATTTATATATTCATTTATAACTGTTGTAGCCTAGGAAAGGTTACTGAATAGAATAATGACACGAAGGTTGGTAATGAACGATAATACGTGGGACACGAACAACGCATATAAGATACGCCAGCGGCGCGTAGAAGTAGTAGTCAACTGTTAGAAGTGAAGTCAAGTGAATTCCACAATGAATCTCCAACTGCAGGATATCTACCAACCGCCCCATGCGGTCTGATGTGGCACAAGGCCGAATTTAAAGATTCCCCGTAGATCCCATATAAAACGGAGTCGGGTAGCTGTTTCCCGAGACGAGACCCTGGCTTTCGACATATTCTCGTCTGGGGATTCTCTCTGTCCGGAGGCAGAGAGTTTGCTCATCACAACTGGAGACAAATCTCCAGCTGCAAACCAACATACAGTATTTACTACTGTTTTTATGTGAATGGGGATATGCCCATTATCGCCCATAGGTATGCTACAACAATAACAAAGAAAACTAACAATAGAGATGAAATTTGCTAAACCTTAATGTCTTTAGTGATATCGTTAATTCGAACGGAATGAGGCACAAGACCGTGTTTCAAAACTAGTCCAGAAAAAAAGACCATTAATCTTCAGAATGATGATACAATGCGACTAGGCATCCGAATGCTTCAAGCCAGGACCGAAACCCGATCGATCTTAGTGTTAGTCAGAGTCTCTACCACTGAGCTATCATCATTTAGCAGAGAGAAACAGGTAATTCTAGCGTATTGTTTTTACGAATGTAAACAAATGCCAATCAGTCATAGGGCAAAAATTCCATAACTCGGATAAATTTAAAAATCCTATCATAACTATATCAGAGCTAGATCGCGCATGTTTTTAAAAATCACTTTGATAACGGAAAGTAGATTTTATCGGAGTTACAATATGCCTGTTTTTGTAATTTACACCTGAAGATGATCTTAGGAAAGGTCGAAAGTACTTGGGTTAAAAAAATGAAGTGCAGCACCTTCCTTGGTGAATTTGATCTTAACGACAAGAAACTGTTTAAGCAAATGGAAGGGATCAGTATAAAAATAATTTGACACATATATTATTCAATGAAACATGTTTGAATGAAAATATGTTGCATATATATATATATATATATATAAAGACATTTTTTTATGTTTATACATTCTTTTTATAGATACAAATCTTTAAGTAAATGATCTGTTTATAATAAACGGTGTGTGTGTGTGTATGACAAAAAGTAAGTACATATGTTGGTTTGACGGCCACATTATCAAGATGTCTTACACTCCATTTTGAGGGTTCTAAAAAGTATTAAACGATATAATTTAATAATAAAAATACTTTGGTTTTTTCTCTTAATAATGATAAATATTTTGATGCTAAAAGTTTAGGGCATCTATTCATTATATATGCTCATCTTTAGCGTATCTTTACAAGTACCTATATAGTAGGCCGATGAAAGATAAAGCCGATGTGAGATAAATAATAATAATAATAATAATAATAATAATAATAATAATAATAATAATAATAATACTCGATGAACTAGCAAGAGGAGTAAATGTAAGAACTAGAAAAGGCAGAAGAGTCGAAAGAAAATACAATATCAGGAATGAAAATGAAGTCCTATCAACTAAAGAAAAATAAAGCAAACAATACAACTGAAGGCTCAAAAGAATAAGACGCTACGAGAAAAGATCAAGATTCTATAGACAGAACAAGATCTTTCAAACCGATGCAAAGAAATTTACAGGAAATAGGTAAACAAAGAATTGAAGTGATAAAATGGAAGAAGTTATACAGTTCTGGGGGAAAAATATGGGCTTGCCCTAAAGAACACAACGAAGAAGATTGGATGCGCAAGAGTTAGAACGAATGAAAAATAAACCAGAACAGACATGGGCGGGAATCACAGAAGAAGATGTTTGAAAAAGCACACAACTGGAAATCTCCAGGAATAGATAAAATTCCTAA